TGGATAATCTAGAAACCCAAGCCTGCAGAAAGATCTACCCTAATTCTAGAGCGTTCGAACCTCGTATCAGTCCATCATTTCAACGTGTTTATTTTTACTGCACTACTACTGGTCTATAGTTTCCCATTTATGTGCACGCTTATAAGGTGATGCAAGGTCTCTAGAGCCCCTGTGATCATCATGTACGGCACCTTCTGAACTTTGGTTAGTTGATGCCGTATTGTAGACTTACACAGGGGCGGTCACTAGCCTGTAATGTCATAGAGCAAAATGAAACGTCGTACAACTACTTTAGTTTTGAGCCCAACGTCGCGACGTCAATGAGAGCTTTACGTTTACATAGCGCTCATTTGATTAATAAAGTTTATCTTCAAGGCATGAGTGCAGTTAAAACAAACACGCTTGGTTCATGAAATGCTGCAATAATCTCAATTTCTTATCGCGCATAATGAATTGAAATGGTGAGGAGTGTGTGCATTGCAAATCACCAACTTAGTCATTTAATGTAAGTCAGTGAACACAGAGCACTTTACAATTTTAACAATCTTTTGTTTGTTTTTATAAAAATGCTGACGCCACATCTGGCTGCCGCCTCTTTGGGCTTCCTCATCGCCATACCGCTATCACTGGACGCCGCGTTGCTCACTTGCCACATTGAACTAGTCGATGGAGTGATCTCGAAAGTTTGTCGAAAACTTAAATGTCCCGTAAATTGTTCGAATGGCGCTTGTAATTTGCACTTACAACGTTGTATTTGCCACGCAGGCTACCAGCGAATGGACGATAAGTGTGTACCTACTTGCGATAAGCCAGTCTGTAGCGAAAATGAGCATTGCTTAGCGCCTAATAAATGCAACTGCAACGATGGCTACTCGTTGGTTGATGATCAGTGTCAGCCAAAATGCGAAACAGGGTGCGTCGAAACTGAATACTGTGCTGCACCAAATAGTTGCGTCTGCAAGGAGGGATATATCGCTACAACGAACGGTGGTTGTGAGCCCATCTGTTCGATGGGATGTGGTCAGTTTGGACGCTGCATATCACCAAATATTTGCGATTGCGATGAGGGTTACCGTGTGCAAGCTGAGGGCAAATGTACACCCGTTTGTGATGCCGAACTATGCGTCAATGCCGATTGCATAGCACCCTATAAATGCATCTGTCATGCAGGTTATTCACTCAACTTCGACAATGGGAAATGTGAGGCGTTGCCGGAGGATGAAGCGACAAAGTCACAGAGCAATGCAACTGTGTGGATCGATGTACGTTCTGGAATGAATGAGTAATACAGTTTTAAATAAAATGTTTGTTACTATAATTCCATAAAAAATTGTGTCTGTTAATTATGTGATTTATTTGCATACGTTTGTATATTTTTATATAAAAAGAATTCGGAATCGCGAAAGCACCCTCTCCAACCAGCCAGCAAAAACCTGCCGTCGCCTCCTTGTTCCCCATGGGCTTCTCGACTTTCCTTGTGAGTCTGTGAGGAGCGGGGATGAATTTACATCCTGCCTACGATTCATTTCATGGTTTTCAACAGAAATCACGTATCAAGCCATTGTAGCAGTAGGAGGCATCCCAACGCATAGCCTTCTTGAAAAGCGATATTAAAAAGGGTAGTAGATGGGGGAGTCCCTTTTGGAGATGAGTTGGGACGATGCCATCTGTTACGGGTGCGTTAAGAGGCGCTGAGGGTAATTCTCTAATCCCCAGCGCAGAATCGTTGTATCCCAGCCTGCGTGTGTATTGTTCGGGTTGCGCATAGTGGTAAAACACCCAGGACTAACAGGTAAAGAGATGCCCTTGCAGCTGTTCCAGAAGCATCAATTAGGTCTTCCTGGTAGACCCAGTATGTTAATGTGAGTTTTTTGTAAGGACTCTGAGAAATCTGGAGTGAGTTCATGAGTCCGTTTTGGTACACCTAAACTCCTAACTGTACGCAGAGAGATCATATTTGTATGTCTCCTATTCGCCAGCAATTTTAGCTCTGTTAAAAAGCGATTTGAGCTGGTTGTTGTTCCACAAAGGAGTCTGTCGGTTAAGTTTAAGATAGACCAAGTATTTTGCCTTGTACTTACACTTTTTAAGACAGTCTTGCAGAAGTACTTCATATACACATATTGACATCTCAGGCTTGGACTTCTGTTGGTGCTAGCGGCTAGTAACAAGGTTCCCATTCCAACACGAATGCTATTGATGATATTTCGTCATTCAAATGGAAATAGCGTCAACAGTGCTCAAAGTATGTCGATTCATAGAAAAAAATGTTGTTCTTACAATAAACATTGCCCCGTAAGTGTTGTTTTTTAATAGATGAAAAAGGTTATTGCCAAATACTCAGTGTTGTGATATTAATCCACACACAATCATGAACTACCACCAATTGATTTTATTAAAAAAATTTAGATTACGAATATGTAAAAACACGATGCGAAAATTAAACACCTGCGCACAGCTGGAATACGAGAAATATTTGAAGAAAGAGTGTAGAAATGATTCATAACTTGCAAAACATTTTTCGTTTCCACAAAAATAAAGCGACCACTATTAAATTGATGAAACAGTCCATGTCCACCTTATTTCCATTGACCTTATTACCTGTCACCAGTAGAACCATCTGGATTCTCTGTTAAATTTACCTACTTCGTTTATGTAAGCTCCTAATTTGTCCGCTAGTTGTGTTGCTTTGTGTTTTCCCAGTGTGTCATATCTCATACTTTCTTCGTTATATTGTAGCTGTTGTCAGCTGAGGTCAGGGAAGGCCTATTCTTACCGCATATTTCAGGGGCCAATGCCCTATAATAGTTCTACTATTTTTAGTACTTCAGGTCTTCGTCCTCCGAAGTCTTCGTCCTATTACAACCAGGCTAAACTGAAGGTGTTGGTCACTTTTTCCATACAAAAAAAATTTTCGAACATATTTTGTATGGAAGAAAATGCGCGAACAAAATATTGCCAAAAATCAACGGCAAGTCCAAGGTACTTCATATTTTTGCTTTGAATTGAATGGGCTACAAAACTACATATGAAAATTTGGTAAAAATTTTTAGAATTTTACCAACAATCATTTGTTTGTAAGAAATTATTTGAATGAATTAGAGGTATATTTGAATTATTTAATTTCATTATATATTGAACTTGTTATTCAATATATCTCCTAAAGATTAAAAAAAAATATATGCAGATCTCATTGAAAACGAAATTAATGGCCGCGGTTTTTT